AAACTCATTTTTCAAGTAATTTTAAATAAATATATACGTATACATCAATATCCAAACAGGCTTACGTTGCTTAATGTGCACGATATGTTCTGTGAACTAAGACATTATATGATTTGGAAGTTATGCAAACACCACATTATATAAAGGAGAGGGGTGCACGGGACGGTCACTGGGAGGCCAAGGATATGCACCTATGCAACTGCACTGAAGGAGTACATGAAAACTTTAGCTCTGCTGCTGCCAGTCCTTTACAGTCCACCTGCTTTTCAAGTGTCCCACCTGGTCTCTGAAAGCTGTGCTGGCCCTTGCCAGTGCCATGGTATGTACTTCCTATCTAGCCAGCAGGCTCCCAGACCATTATCTCTGGCTCCCTTCAATTCCTTCCTCCCTGCCTTCCTTCTTCACACCCCCAAGGGGCTTTAAACTCTTTTAGCCCACCTATCCATCCCTCCTCCCCTAGCTCCCTTTCCTGTTCCTCTTCCCTCCACCTCTGCAGCCCAGTGGCCACCATCATGATAGCAGCCTGAGCCTCGGGCCAGGTATCATACACAGATGGGACATCCCACTAGGAGGTTCTGATGGTGTCTGTATGGTTGTGTGGGTGCTGGACTCCCTCCTGCCCCACAAGGGCTGAGGAAATGAAGGGACCAGAGAACTGGTGAGAGACAAATTGGTTCTCTGTACTCAGCTAAGTGTTTCTGTTATGTTTCTCTCTCTCTCATCAGGATTTCTGAACTGTTTTATTAGGGTACCATCAACATAGATGCAGTCCAAACAGCTTTTAAGTGACACACACAGGTATATAGTTTGGGGATTTTTAGGAGTCTTGCAATGGAGGCAGCAGATGAAAACCATCCCACACACTGATGATGAAGCATGATGTATACAATTTTCTCTCAGTTATAACTTATAAGGAAAAGTATGTAGAAGTAAAATCTCAGTGGGAAAAATGATCTCTTAAACCAAACACTAAAATTAAGCTTACACCATTTCATAGAGATTTAAATGCCAAGTAGTTGATTCAAGTTACCAGTTAAATTTTTTTTAGCTAGATTCTCCTAGAACTTCAAATACTTCCTTAATTCTTAGTACAACCTCCATTAAGAACTGCTATTAAACTTTTCTCAGTAGCACTGGTGGCATAGTGGATAAGGCATTTGGCTGCTAACCAGAAGGTTAGCGGTTCAATCTCACCAGCTGCTCTGCAGAAATAAGATAGGGCAATATACTGCTATAAAGATTTACCGCCTCGGAAACCCAATGGGGGTCACTATGAGATAGAATCAACTCAATGGCAGTAAGTTTTGGGTTTATTAAACCTTTCTGGTCTTATGTTGTTGTTGTTGTTGTTATGTGCCATCGAGTTGGACCTGACTCATAGCAACCTCTCCTTGGGTTTCGCAAGGCAGTAGCATTATGGAAGTAGATTGCCCAACCTCCCTTCTGAGGAGTGGCTGGTGGGTTTAAACTGCCAGCCTTCTGGTTAGCAGTCAAGTGGCTTAGGCACTAAGTTACTAGGCAAGTTATAAAAGTGTCTGGTGCCTCAGTTCCCTCTCTGTAAAATGAGAGTAACATTAGTGTGTCTAATTTAAAGCAGTGTGAGGATCAAGTGAGCTGTGATAGAGATGCATCTGGGACCCCTTGAGAAATGCTAAGGATGGCCCCTACCCAAGAAAAGCACAAAAACACAAACTCACAATCTTGCACACAGCTTCAAGATTTTCTCCGATTTCCTCCCTCAGTACTCATGGGTCCCTAGGTATCCTTGGTCTCAAGTTAAAAAAAAAAAAAAAATTGCCTTTGACTCTGACTCATGGCACCCTCATATATGTCAGAGCAGAAGAATCCTCCATGCAGTTTTCAATGGCTGATTTTTTAGAAGGAAATTGCTGGGCTTTTCTTCCCAGGTACTTCTCGGTAGACTGGAAACTCCAATCTTTCAGTTAGCAACCAAGGGCTTAAATGTTTGTGCCATCCAGGGACTCCTAGTCCTGAGTTAGCAACCTCTATTTTAGATTACAGTATTTAACAGTTAACAGGAGCTCTGGTAGCGTAATGCCTAAGGCATTTGACTACTAACCAGAAGGCTGGCAGTTCAAATCCATCAGCCACTCCTTAGAAGGAAGATTGGGCAATCTACTTCCATAGTGATAGCACCTCAGAAACCCAAGAAGGGGGTTGCTGTGAGTCAGATCCAATTTGACAACAGTGAGTTTGGTTTTATACATACACACACACACACACACACATAAATGTTAAAAACATTTAAACACACACCCCTTCTTTTCCAATCCTAAAGAAAAATAAAATTATATAGTTTTTAAATATGAGCTGTTTATGGGTAAATAAAGCCAACTAAAACCCAAAGAAAACTTTTTTTTTTTTTTAATTGTGATTTGGGTGAAAGTTTACAGAGCAAATTCACTTTCCATACAGCAGTTCACATATACTTTGTCTCATGACATTGACTACAATTTACCACAATGCAACAGCTCCCCTCCCACTTCTCCCCATAGTTGCCTATTCCCTGTGTTTGTCCCTCCTGTGCACTCCTGCCCCCTGAGCTGTCTCCCTGTGCATACACAGCCCTTCTATTCTCCCATGATTGTTCTCTTCAAGGAGTGTATCTACCTAATGTAAATGTTCACCTCATATATCTGTCTTTTGTTTGGCTGGAAGCCACAGGAGTGGGTTTAATTTCAGACCTTAAGGGCAGCTAGGGGCCATAGTCTCAGTGGTTCCATCAGGCTCTATCAGACCAGCAAATCTGGTCTCTTTTTTTTCCAAATGATTTTTGAGTTTTGTTCCACATTGTTCTCCCACTCTATCCAGGATCTCCTACATAGATCCCCCTCCAAGTGGTTAACAGTGGTAACCAGGCACCACCTAGTTCTTCTGGTCTCATTGTCATATAGGCTGAGGATCGCATGGTTTGTACCAGTCGCTTGGACTAATTGTTTCCATGAATCTTTGGTTTTCTTCATTCTTCTTTGCTCTGGATGAGGACAGACCCATCACTGCATCTAGATGGCTGCTTATAAGCATTTAATATCCTAGTTGCTACTCACCAAAGTAGGCTGTGGAACAATATTTTGTGTAGTATGTTATGCTAATTGAGCTTGATGTCCCCTGCGACTATGGTCCTGAGTCCACAGGTCCAACTACTCACTCCCTCTGGGTAGCTGGCTGTGGCCAAGAAGTGACTACAACCTTGTCCCTTGTCAGCTCTGCTATATACCTGGGAGTGCTTACAGAACATAGCAATACACTTACAGAAACACTGTATGCCAACCCTATACATGGTCTTGGGCACACTGCCCCCTGCACAGACTTACCTAATAGTTCAGCCTGTCCACCCATCTATTCACCTGTATATCCATGTTTGCCTTCACTGACAATGCAGTACTGTATGTGCAAAAGGGTCATCTTTGTTGTCTGTACCTCCCACGTACCTCTCTATGTTTTCCTCTTGCTCAACCAAAGAAAACTTGTAAGGAAAGCAAGTTATCTAGCAGTTAACTGGTGCCTACTCTGTTAGTAAAGTTTCCTGACAGTAGAAGAGATGAGAAAAGTCCTCTCTAAATTTATGTCATCAACTTATAAAACAATATGGGTGACTTAGTTGGCCTTTTATGTCTTTTCAGCTAGGTTTTCCTTCCTCTTAAATAGCTGAAACACAAATCCAGTGAAACCAGATATCTCACTGGCTCTCTAGAAACCCAGTGTTGCCTTGAAACACACAGCATTTCTACTTTCCTTCTTCCTGGAATTCCCCCACCCAAGACTCACCCCCTTCCTGGAGCCTTTCTTGACCTGTGCTGACCCCTCTTGAGTGCCCCAGTCCCCTGACTCTGAGCAGCTGGACCCCACAGTTCTCTCCCTTAATGACGCACATGCCATCTCCCAATCTCATGGGGCTTGGCCTTCTTGGCATGGACTCTCAGCCCTCAAGCACAGAGTCTGACCCCAAACAGACATTTAATGAATGCTAAATTAAGTGATGAATGAGTACTACAGTAACTGAGCAAGAAGACCTATCAAGCACTCAGAAAGACGAAACCCTCAAAATGTGGCTCCTAATTTTTTTAAAATTTGAACACCTTCCAAATCAATGATATTTACCAGTAAAGTTTAAAGTATTCACAATAGGGCTATGAATCTCATTCTGCTGATAAATACCAACAAATGCTTAAGGGACTCCCATAGGCATGCTCCCTCCAAGAATGAGACCTCCTCACTGGGAATTAGAGGTCCACCTCCCCCAGACCCTAGGATACTAGTGATCCTGCTTAGTTACTTTTTTCCTACAATGCATTTTATAAAACTGTAGACTGCTCAAGAGTTTTTTGTCTCCTCTTTGCTGGATTATATTAGGTAATAATAGATACATAAAGTAATTAAAAAATAAAAAGTTGCAGCTCTTTAAGAATTAAAAAGGGCACAGAAGAGTATGTCTAAGACCCACGACTGTGGTCAAATGTCAACTTGCCTTCCTGTCTCCTATGTTCTTACCAAATTTAACATCTAGCCATTGCTGGCTTACTTCTTTCCTCTTTCTAGTCTTTAGAAAATTTCCAATTAAGGCTGTCCCAATACACAGTTCAGATTTTCTTTCTTTCCAGTGACACTGTGAACAATGGAAAATTATGCCTTTTAGTGAACAGATTTCAAAAATAATAAATGATCAGTAAACATGATGCAAATAACACAACCTTCTCTTTCTGATTACCATGCTCTGTCTGGCTCAGTAACTCACAGATTCCATATACTGCCTGAGGAAAGCAAAGACTAGAACCAGATTTAAAGTGGTCCTTTCACTTCCGAGAGATATAGTTCCACTGCCATATGCCTGAGAATTTTTGCAAGTTTTACCACAGTGTAAAGATATAAGACACATTAAGTTTCCCAGAAAAACAGAAAAAATCTAGTGTCCCAACAGAAGCTACTAGTTTATGCACAAGTAAACTCAGTCATGAGCTGATGCTCAATTATGTACTTACTGATCATGTCTGGTGTCAGGAATGTTTCTGTCCATTCGCAACTTATCACTTTCCACTTGGTTGAACTTGTTCCGGGCATAGGGATCCTGCCCAGATCTGACCATTGTTACTCCAACATAAGCTTCCTGGTTAAAGTCCTGCCACCGAACTTTACCTAATGGAAGAAAAGCAGAGGTTTTATATGACAGAGGAGAAAATGAGATTAGTATTTCTCAGTACAGAGAATGCAGCAACAACATACTAACCCAACAAAGAGTGTCTAGGGCTTCTTCTTATGACAATTTTAGTCAATAAACTACCTTAAATTATTACAGCTATAAACATCACTACTGTCTAAGAGGAGAAAATTAAATGCTTACAGTTTGCAACTTGAAAATCAAAGGTCTTCTCAGCCACACCAAACCTGCCCCACTTCCAGGGCCCACTCACTGCCAGACAGTAAGAGGAAGCTAAAGGATCCAAGATGGTGAAATAGGCAGATACACTAGCCAGACCCTCTACAGCAAAGACTCGAGAAATGAAGAGAAACAGACACAGATGACAATTCTGGAACACAGAGCTTCAAAGGAAAATAATGATGAGAAGAAGATACTAAACAAAAACAGGGAACAAGGAGCAGTAAACTGTCAACTGTCGAACTGTGGCCATTCTGAATAACTGTAAGCAGCATTTCAATGGGAGCAGAAACCAGATAACTGGCTCCACTGGGCCAAGAATGCACCAGCACCCACACTGGTGGTCAGTGATCAGATAGGTCTTCCCACTCTGTTTTTTTTTTTTTTTTTTCCTTCCTATTACCCCCCCATAGATACATATATGCTTTCGTGTGTGTGTATGTATGTATGTATGTGTATATATATATACACATACACATATATCACCCTCCCGCCCAGCAGTCAGGAGCAGCAACACTACCTAGCCTTATTCACTACATCTGTTGTCCTACCCACTGGATAAATGTCACCAACTGCTCCAATATCACTGGACAGACAACAGATGGCAGGCAGTACTCAAGCCACCATAGTACAACAAACTGAGAGACTACATCTGCAGAAAGAGGTGATGGAGAAGCTCAATATCATCAATTAAAATAATGCCAGGAGCTAACTGTGGAAGAGACCTACAACTGGTCCTACACAAAGTGAAGCTGAAGCTGAAGAACATTAAAACAAGTCCATGAGAGCCAAATTACAATCTGGAGTATATCCCACCTGAATTTAGAGACTATCTGAAGAAAAGATTTGATGCATGGGATACCAATGACCAAAGACCAGATAAACTGTGGGATGACATCAAGAATATCATAAAAAAGAAGGCAAAAGGTCATTAAAAAGACAGGAAAGGAAGAAAAGACCAAAACTGATGTCAGAAGAAACTCTGAAAACTGCCCTAGAACTGAGAGTAGCTAAAGTAAATGAAAGAAATGAAGAAATAAAAGAACTAAACATAAGATTTCAAAGGGCAACGGCAAAAGTATTTTACAAAGTAAAGTATTATAATGCAATTTACAAAGACCTGGAATTATAAAACTAAAAGGGAAGAGTATGCTTTACATTTCTGAAGTTGAAAGAAAACTTCAAGCCTCAAATTACAATATTAAAGAATTTAATGGGAAAAATGCTGAACGATGAAGAAAGCATCAAAAGAGGATGGAAGGACTACACAAGTCATTGAATCAAAAAACTGGTAAAAAGCATTCAACCTTTTGGGAGGTAACATATGATAAAGCACTAATGGTACAGAAGGAAGAAGTCCAAGCTAGAGTGAAGGAATTGGCAAAAAACAAAGCTCCAAGAATTGGGAGAATACTTAGTGAGATGTTTCAACAAATGAGTGCACTGTTAGAGGTGCTTAGTCATTTATGCTATGAAATTTGGAAAAGATCCATACTTAAGCCCATTCCAAAGAAAGGTGATCCAACAGAATGTGGAAATTATCCAACATTATCACTGATATCACATGCAAGTAAAATTTTGCTGAAGATAATTCAAAAACAGTTGCAGCAGTATACTGACAGGGAACTGCCAGAAATTCAAGCTGGATTCAGAAGAGGACATGGAACGAGAGACATCATTGCTGATGTCAGATGGACCCTGGCTGAAATCAGAGAATACCAGAAAGATGTTTACCTGTGTTTTATTGACTATGCAAAGGCATTCAACTCTGTGGATAACAAATTATGGATAACATTGCAAACAATGAGAATTCCAGAAAACTTCATTGTGCTCATGAGGAAGCTGTACATAGAACAAAAGGCTGTTATTCAAAGAGAACAAGGTAACACTGAACGCTTTAAAATCAAGAAGGGCCTTCAGACCTGGAATTGAATTCACTCCCATGGCTTCCAGCAAAACAAACAGGCAGGCATATGGGGTGAACATTTACACCAGGTAGATACACTCCTTAGAATAATTAATCATGGGAGAACAGAAGGGCAGTACTTGCCCAGGGAGACAGCTCAGGGGACAGGAATGCATAGTAAAGAAGGACACAGGGAAGAGGTAACTATAGGGAAGAAGTGGGAAGAAAGCTATTACATTGTGAGGGTTACATCAATGTCATGAAACAAAATTATGTATGAACTATTATATGGCAAATGAATTTGCTCTGTAAATTCTCACCCAAATCATAATAAAAATTAAAAAAAAAAAATCAATCAGTATGGTGAGCAAATAATGCGAGAAGCTGTGCTACAGAAGAAAGCAGCATCAGGTTTGGAGGAAGACTCATTAACAACCTGCAATACACAGTTGGCACAACTTTACTTGCTGAAAGCAAAAAAGACTCGAAACACTTACTGATGAAGATCAAAGACTACAATCCTCAGTATGGATTACACCTCAACTGGACTAAAACACAATATCATGATAAACAGAGAAAAGACAAGTTGTCAAAGACTTCATTTTACTTGGATCCACAGTCAACAACCACAGAAGCAGCAGTCAAGAAATCAGACATCCTATTGCATTGCAAGGAGCTCTGGTAGCATAGTGGCTAAGACACTTGCCTGCTAACCAGACGGCTGGCGGTTCAAACCCACCAGCCACTCCTCGGAAGGAAGGTTGGGCAATCCTACTTCCATAGTGATACTGCCTCGGAAACCCAAGGAGGGGTCGCTATGAGTCGGGCCGACTCGACGGCACATAACAACAACAACAACAATTGCATTGCAAAAGACCTCATTAAAGTGATAAAAACAAAGATAATACTTTAAAGATTAAGGTCCACCTGACCCAAACCATGGTATTTTCAATAGCCTCATATGCATGTGAAAGCTGGACAAAGAATAAGGAAGACGCAGAAGAACTCATGCCTTTTATTTGTGGTTTTTGGCAAAGAATACTGAAAATACCATGGACTGCCAGAAGAACTAACAAAACTGTCTTAGAAAAGTACAGCCAGAATGTTCCTTAGCAGCGCGAATGGCCAAACTTCATTCCACGTACTTTGGTCATGCTGTCAGAAGGTCATGTCATATTTCCCTGGAGAAGGGTATCATGCTTGGTAAAGTGGAGGGTCAGCAAAAAAGGGAAGACTGTCAATGAGATGGACTGACAGAGTGGCTACAATGATAAGCTAAAGTAAGAATTGTGAGGATAGCACAGAACTGGGCAGGGTTTCATTCTGTTGTACATGGGGTCACTATGAGTCAGAGCTGACTCGACAGCAACTAACAACAACAACAGATAGGAAGACTTAAGATTGTGAAAATGTGAGTACTATCCAAAGCAATATACAGATACCTGATCTAAATCCCATGAGCATTATTTAAAGACCAGGAAAAACTCTCTTTAAACATTATATGGAAAGGAAAGAGACCATGGATAAGGAAAGTACTACTAAAGAGAAACAAAGGAGAAGGCCTCATGCTCCTCAATCTCCAAACTTATTGTACATACCACACAGTAGTCAAAACAGCATGGTACTGGTATAATGACAAACTCACAGACCAGTGGAATAGCACTGAGAACAAACTGAGCACAGGTGATCTTTGACAAAGGGCCTATTAAACAGGGAAGAGATACACAGTCTCTTTAATAAATGGTGCTAGTGAAATTGGGTATCTATTTGCAGAAAAATGGAACAGGATCCACATCTCTCACCATATACAAAACTAACTCAAGATTAACCAAAGACCTAAATGTAAAACCTAAAACTATAACGGTCATCAAAAGGGGGGGGGGCAAACTTAGGAGCCATAATACATGGCATAAATACACTATCAAATATAACGAAAATGCACAAACAGCAGAAGACAAAATAGACAAGTGGGATCTCCTAAAAATTAAACATTTATAAGCATCAAAAGTCTTCGGGAAAAGAGTAAAATGGGAAACTTCAGACTGGGAAAAAAATTTTGGCAGCAACATGTCACACAGGGATTAATCTCTAAAATTTATACAAAACATCAATACCTCAACAACAAAAAGGCAAACAATCCAATTTAAAAATGGGCAGAGGACATGAACAGACACTTCAACAAAGAAGACATTCAGGCTGCTAACAAACACATGAAAAAATGCTTGTAATCATTAACCATTACCAAAATACCAAAACCACTCTCATCAAGTTGATAGACAGGATAGAGTAGAACTGCCCCACAGGTTTCCAAGGGTGTAAATCTTAATGGAAGCAGACTGTCTCATTTTTCTTCCAAGGAGTGGCTGGTGGATTCCAACCACCAACCTTCTCATTAGCAGCTGAATGCCTTAAGCAATGCAAATAAAAATAATGAGATATCATCTCACTCCAGCATTATAGCAAAGTTAAAAAAAAAAAAACACAGAAAACAGCAAATTCTGGTGAGGGTGTGGAGAGACTGGAATCCTCATACACTGCTGTAAAATGGTACTATCACTGTAGAAAACATTATGACACTTCCTTAAAAAGTTGGAAATAAAATTATCATATGATCCAGCAATCCCATGACCAGGTACACATCCTAGAGAAATAACAACCATGACACAAACAGATAATATGCACACCCATGTTCATCCTAGCATTATTCACAAGAGCAAAAAGATGAAAACAATCTGAGTGCCCATCAGTAGAAAAATGGATAAACAAACTATGGTACACACACACACTGGAACACTATACAACATTAAAGAATAATGATGAATCTGTGAAATATCTCATAACATGGATGAACCT